AGGTTTGATTTGCTGCCTTTAACTCTTTCAAACACCTCCGTGCAGGGGAAAGGAGGCTACCGGGCTATGCGGGATGGAGCCCCTTCCTGGTACTAGAACCCCGTCCAAAGCCCTCTTTCATGTCCCTGCCTCTTCTCTCCTAGAGGCACATCTTCAGTCTGCTGGAGACAGAACCCCTGGCTTGGGTTCCGCCCTGTCCCCTCCCAGCCGCTCCATCCTTACCTGCAAGGAGCAGAGCGCTCAGCACCATGCAGGCCAGGAGTATAAACTTGCTCTGGTGCAGGGGATGGGGCTGCCTGATTCCCATCCCGGTTTGCACCCAGCCTGTTGATGGCCCCTCCTTGGCTTTAGGCTATGACATTTATTAATATCCACCCCCAAAATTGCCTTCAGGGACCCTGAGACAGCTGAACCCTTGGGTCTTGCTTCTATAAAGGGCTAATTGGCAGAGCCTGTGCCCAAGAAATGAAATAGCGAGGCCAAAGAAAGAGACAGCGACAGGGCCTACCCCGAGCAAGGGAAATTTCCAAGTACACAGGACAGACTGGGACATCGCCCCCAAACACAGCAGCCCTGTGAGCGTCCAGCATGGGGAACACAACCAGGCCTGTGATAGGCACCATGGGCAGCAAAGGCGATTTCAGCTGATACTTAGCTAAGAGAATTTACAGAGGGAGTGACCAATATGCCTGCCCTTTCCCTCTTTTGAAATCTCCGCTACTCCTCTCACCTGGCGGGAAGAGGTTAGAGATAGATGGATGCATACGAACTGTGACCTTGGGGATTTTGGTGAATCCGGCCCGGGAGCACAGTTCATTGAAATCCTGCTCCAGGATACCCGTGCACTGATATTCCTCTGTGGAAAGAGCAGAGCTGCAATCACTCCATCCAACCCACTGCCATTCCTAGAGCACCTGTCGCGCTCACAGGATAGCAAAGCATTTTACTCCAGCCATACAAGCTAGTTGCAGAGACTCTTCCTCTAGCACTGAAGTGCCTCTACTTCTGGGGTGGAGCGGAGTTGTGTCTTAACAGCGCACAACAACGCCACAGGAGCTCAGGCCAAAAAGTGAAAAACACGGTGTCCAGCAGAAACGGCAAGGGGAATTCGGTTAGCTTTGATGGGATGAGGATGCACGCAGGTCTTTTGTGGGGTTAGGGACAGATTTTCTGAAGGAAGCCAGTTCCCAGGTAGCTACTTAAATAAGGGCCAGAGTTCCTGGTAGATTGACAACCTCCCCACCCCCCAACAATGGTGTCCTTGCCATGAAACAGAGCGATCGGGGGGGGAGGGGGTCATCACCTTCGCCATGTTCAGGCTTCTTAGCTGCGTTCTTTCCTTCCTCCTCAAGGTTTGTGGCAGCCGATTTATCCTTGGCCCCCCGGTCCCCTTTCTTCCCCATCGTTACTCTCTTCGGGACACTGGAGGAAAACGAGACGGGATGGGCTGGTAAGAGGCTTTCAGAGCCGAGGGCGCTGCCCTCGTGCCCCACTGGCCGTATGGTTCTCCCCCCACGTGTATATTTTTGCTCCTTAATCCTTTTGCTCCCAGGGGCGAGAAACCCCACGGCCAGGGGGGTGAGCCCGCATGTGGCTGTGGCCCCGGCCCGGCCGGCCCGGGAAGGGCTGGGGGATGAGCCCTGGGGGCCAGGAGCGGTGTTGGGGGACGGTCTCTGGGCGGGAGGCGTCTGGGTCCCTCTCTGGGGGGGCCTGGGGT